TTTTTTTTTAATTAGACATTTTACTGAAAAAAAGGTTTTAATGGTTGCCTAACTTCAAATCTTTATGATAAACGTGATCACTTCTCAATCTCACTCGACAATATCCCTTATATACTTGTGAAGAAATTTATAACTTTATCGCCTTCATATGTGTTTAGAGTCTGAATTGATTTGATACGCAAAGATATGCTCTATGTAAAAGCAAATTATAAAACGAAGTATTTTACAGTTGATGAAACAAGAATATAAACAGTCTTGTTTGAAGTTCTATGGTCGATATAATGAGCTTATCAGCAGATACAGTCTACCCTTAACTAAAATGCTGACTGAGTATTTTGTTATACATTTTGTATCTTGTTAGTCAATTATTTTGCTACACTCTGGATTGTCTAGCGATTCTTTTTTGCTTTCCTGATCAGAACAACTGGTCGGCAGGGGATGTTCACTCCTCCTTAGCACTGACCAAACCTCTAATTTTTAGTTCCGCTATAGCTCTGCTCCTGATTTGTATAGTTTTTCATGGACGTCTGTAGTTGAATACTGTTCGTTATCTCATATTTCATTTAAGTTGCATTTATTATTTTGTAATGGATTAGGTATCAAATTTTCTTTATGTAGGAGCATTCAGAAATTACCTAGATGTTGGTCATAATTTTTGTTCACGTAACATTTTAACCAAACACATATTTTAACTATAAATCCAAATGATTAAAGATTTTAGACTGCATAAAAGTGATATAGAGCACGATCGAATTTATTTTTAACAGCAATACACTTTTTCTAATATCTAAGAAATTATGCTTCCACAAAGTAAACTTTGAACGTTAATTTTGTATGTTTCAGCATCTTGCTACCCAAGGGTTTCTGATACGCTACTCTCCTTACAAAAACTTTGGCCTAGGGTGTTAAAAATGGATTTTTTTTCTCAAGTTGTGATTGGAGTGGATCGATATAGATCAACCAATCAGCAATTGGTTTTGTTTTTTGTTTGTTTGTTTGTTTGTTTGTTTTTTGTAATTATAAATGACAATATCTGCACTCAGGGATATATTCGTATATTTTGACTCTTTACTCTCAGGAATGAAAAATGCACAATGATCACAAATAGATATGGTGTCACCCAATATCTTAAGCTATGTGCGAAATTTGATATTAAATTATTATAAATGTAGATTTGCACTTAAAATAACAAATGAACATGAACCAATATTTTCTTGTTTATTATTCTTTAAAAACTTAATAATGATTTAAATGTATACGTTATTTATTTCTGCTGATGAAGCAATCTGTGCATACATTTAAAATTCGAGATCACTTTACTTAAACAATCCCTTCTTTTGACAGCTACATAGTCCAAGGGTTTGCGAGGAGAGTAACGTATCAGATACTCTTGGCTAGCGAAGATAATATTTCAGATGCAAAATAATCACATATCGTACCTTTTCTGCAAAAGACAGTGAATCCTCTTTGAAAAAAACCAAGACTAATGATGTCAAAGGACTTAACGTTGCAACAATTACTAATGACCATTTTTAGTTGGGTTTGATTTTCTTTGTATTAGAAAAAACTGAATTTTTCGGGTTACGTAGTAAAGAATTGTAACATGTAAGTAGTACATATTTCGTAGTGGACATGGGTTCACGGTTCTTCTCTTACCTAGAACCCCCTTCCTTTTAGAAATTAGGGATGTCACAGTATCTTATTTATGCTTTCTTTATTTTTGGGTTGTCATAGGGGTTTAATTGCTTTTCTTGTTGAGAAGTATTTATGTTTTTCATCATTTTTTTTTTTACTTTTTTTATAACATCAGTCTAAAGAGATGCTGTATGGAGATGATGAGATTTCCAATAAAAAATAATTTGTAGTACAGGCATGTTGAAATTTTAAATCTGCATGCAATATGAATAAAAGTTTGTCTGTGTCTTAAGGAATAATGCAAATATATTATTGTTTTTTTTTTAAAAAAAACATGCTTACACATGCTCACTCCAATTTATACCTAGAATGATAAAATAATTCCGTAAGTTCGTGTGCTAAAAATATTATTTATTTTAAAACCTTACTAGTATTCCAAGAACCATTGTTTGGATTGCAGTCGATTTAAAAAGAATGATTCATACATATATAAATAGTTTTTAATATAAATTTATATGATTAAAATAAATATTGCAAAAAACAAACTAGACTTAAAATGTTAAGACTAGTCGGAAAGAATGGAAATGGGTGTAACTTCCACTATCTGATCGCCCTGATTCCTTGTGGTATATAAGAAGCAGAAATGTTTCAATATAGATCGTTACAAAGAGATATATAGGTCTGACAGACAATAGCCGCGACAGTTTGCGGAAATCTTTTTTACAACACGGACATCAGGAGTCTTTTTTTTTTAATGATATTAAGTACATTGTCATTTTCAAATACACTCGCCCATTTCTTTATCGTTTGATGTTAAGTATGGTTTCCTTCAAAATCAAGCTTTAATCAATGTATATTATTTTATTTTCCGTTTTTTTTTTCATTATTGATATAAATACTAAACATTTGTTGTACAGTGTATATTTTTGTAAATGAAAGACACAATATCATTTGGATCATCCTTTAAAAAAAATGTTACATTGCCCTCTCCCGACTTACTAACAATGGCCCGACTCAAAACTTTTTTTAACATCCCAGGACACAATTTTGTTTTCTTTTTATTCCTCTTATCCCGTCAACAAATATGGGGGGGGGGGATCCTACCTATCTCCCAACTAAATAAAACCCAGAGTCGGGAGAGGGCAAGCAAAATTATTTAAAAGATGGCCTTGGATGAAAAATTTATTTTGTCTTATTTTATTTTATTTTTATTTTTATTTTTTTTTTTTGACACATAGAACCAGTACTACTTATCAACAGCAAATTGTTTAATCATATAACCAGATGCTCATGTGGTGTGCATGTTTAAAGCTGCCTTAATATTCATAATATGCACAATTAATTGTTTCTTGCAAGTTCTTTTATAAGTGCTACAATCCTACAAGAACTGTTATACAGAATATTAAATTCTCCCTGAAAGCATTGTAATGATAATGTGCTATAGGATTCATGATCATATTCACGATCATACATGTGTCGTTTTGTAAATTTGAATTTACCGGGTGGCAGTAAATACAAAATTTACAAAATGACAACTTATAAATTTTGTATTCACAACCACCCGGTAAATTCAAAATTTACAACATGACAACTTGTAAATTTTGTATTCAGTACCACCCGGTAAATTCAAAATTTACAATATGACACGTGCACATGAACCTTAATGTACCATTAAGTTTTTATTTTTTTAAAGTCATTGACTTTACTCCCATTTCTAATTAAAAATTTGGAGTCCTTTCATAGGTTTGAGAATTGATAGTAAAAGGTCTAGAACAGTATCATTTCTCTTTTGCTAAGAATAAGATCTTACCACTTCCTCTCTTTTTTTCTCCTTTTCTCTAACATTATCATTTACTTAAGATGTTTACTGCACATATATGTAATCATCGATACATATATATCATTTTGATAATCTTTATTTTAACGCAAGTTAAACTCAGTAATTATAGTCTTATATCGTCATTGAAAAAAATCTCAATTCGAAAAACATAAATTGCATGTTTTAAACTGCTCTTTCTGTCGTTTTAAATTTATCTTTCAAAAGTGAAAAAAAATATAGATGACAGCGTAGATAATATCTCAATTCCAGAAACTGGTTCATATCGCATCTGTAGCCTTCTTCCGCCGGAACTGTGGAGCGAGACATGGTTTTCTATGTGCATTTTGTAAGAATTGCGTTAGGTTTTTAATTTGTTCACCGGAAGGGCACACTAGGTTTTCGCTATATTTCATACAGAAACAGTAATTATTTCTTTATTATCGTCCGATCAAATCATTAAAAACTATCCACGTAGGTCGGACTGAAGTATGATGGAGCTTTACGTTTTGTAATATTCTCTGTCATTTTGAATCCATGTAAACGATTTGGAGTCAGCTGTCGAAATCTTAAGAGAGAAACATTTCTCTCTGTATAATAATCAAACGCAGGCGTCACCTCGACCCTACTGTGATCTCTCAAGTGCTTATGGAACATTTTTACCCAACTAAATGCTTTTCTTTTTGTCAGAAGAGCTGTATACTGTCTGTTCGTCTTTGACGGCAAGCATCTAACAACAACTACATGAAAATTATCTTCCTAAAGTACTTTTTTCTAATATATTTATTAGTGGAACATATGTCAACTCCTAATCAAATGCACGTTTTATGGTACCGATTGGTTTTTGAAAAAAATGTTTGTTCGGCACTTGTGAATCAAAACTATTTCCTAAGTGGTATGGGAACGATCGCATGCCGCGGATATACGGAAACAAACATCTCAATTGATACAAACACGACACCCGGCTACATACACTAAATTCCTGCTTTTTCCCGATTCCTTATTACTTTCAATGGCTCTTATGTAGATTTCAGTTTCAAGCTTTTGACTTTTGAATTTTATTGAAATGATGAACCATGCTTTAGCATATATTGAGAGTTTTCAATCAAAAGACTGTCAAATATTTCTGAAAATAAAAACAAAATTATCATTATATTTTTATTTATCAAAAACTCTTTAAAATCTTCATAATTGTACTTTTTATTACAAAAACTTTGAATTCATTTCCGTAAAAGTGATCGTTAAGATTTTGATAAGGCTCAAAATTTCTATTTCGTAGGGTTTTCTTATTATATATACATTTATCAAAACTTATAAAATGAACTTGACTTAAAATCAAAAGGACGAGTTAGAATATTTTTCATGAATTTTTTTTTTAAAGTACGTCTTTCTTTTTTATAATACGATCAATCATATACTAAATGAAAATTAAGATATTGAAAATAAAATGGTATATGCAATAAAAATATGGTGAAAATATTAATTTTCAAATGGAAAAATAACTTTCTTTCATTTAAAACAATGAACATATTCATTTAACAATCTTTGGGATAATTTTAACTTGTAAATAAAATTCAGACAACTATATGAAATTAATGTCATAGAAAACAAATACGTGCCTTTGTTTAAGCATCATTAGTTTGGTTTCCAGTTGAAAATAACCTGAACATTTCAAAGACATACAACACACACAATGTTTATCACAGTTCGTGTTTAATGAGAAATGATTTTATTATAGAAGGCGATCGGAGCCTGCTTATAAGCGGCATGTGTATACTTAATTACACTTAATGCTATCTTGAAACAGGGTAGGGATTCTGATAAGCAATAAAAAGGTCTTCACGCGATGGCTTTGATAGACGAGCGCTTCTCCGGGGGATGGCAAATATTCCGTCATAGAACAAAATAACATCTTAATCGGTTTTGTTAGATTGTATATCGCCACATTTATAACACGTTTTCTTAAATGAGATTCCTCTATTTTGATTTTTATCATGAAAATTAGCATAGACTTTTATATAAAACAAGATAATAAATAGATTGATCTGTTTCATCTTTTAATTCACATTTCTACCTCCCGTCGTAAAGAGTTCTAAATTCAAACATTTTGAAACGTTTTGTTTATTATACATTTAATCGCAATGATAACGTAGCGTAATTAGAGTTGAAATTAATTTAGTTATGTTATTAAATTTTTAATCCAACGATGTCGATTTCTTCAGCGTGAAATTAACTTCAAAAGAGGCGTTATCGGTGCCTGGCTGCAGGAATTGAGATTTTGTGAACGACAACTTGAGGAGTGCAATTTTCTTTGCTTCGTAGGCAGTGCATCATATCGACAAAATCTGCAATGAAAAAAAGTAGATCACGCCAAACAAATGTTAACATTTTCATACCCGTAAAATATATACATGTAGGCGATTGGAATTTTCTAATCATGTTTACTTTGAATATTTGCAATTTTTTTTACCATCCAAATTGATATTTCTTTGAAATTATGATTGATACCCTAAAATATTCAATACTTGAATTTAATTTCGTGCCTCAAATTTTTAATACCGCGCTAACTCGTGGTCTTGGATTTGTCGGCACGGTCAGATGCTAAAGAACGAACCGATGACATCCAAAAAATCTATTTACCCACACATTAAAAATTTATGATAAAGATTGATGAAATGATTGTAAAAGCCGTCGGTTGTGAAGAAGAAAGGTTAATAATGCAAATAAACATTGTGAGGGAAAAGATGACATAATGAGTCGAAACAATGTACAAATTGCATTTGGAAATCCTGGTATATTAAAAGTCTATGCATTCCCTGCCGTTTAATCGTTTGCATTAAAGGGAATGAATCTTGAAGATTTCCACTAGAAAAATACACTTTATTTGGGATTTTAAGAATTTTGTTTGTTGCTTAACATCCATTCCAGAATATTATTCAATCATGTTGGGACACCACCAAATCAAAGGCTGTGCAAATTTATATGTCCTTGGCACTTATGACCAGTGAGCTATCAGAGAACTTTTTGCTTCAAAAATGCATTTAAATTACGAGAGTAATGATTTACTTTTAATTATACCATCGTCTATTTTTACTTCATGTACCAATCCTCATTTTTCTGGCAGAATCTACTCTGCTCTGTTTTTTGCCAAAAAATGATATCAACAAATATTTGAATTGAAAAGAGCTTTTATTACAAATGCCAATGAAATATACAGCAGTATTGTTTGTTATTAAATATATGTTACACCTGTCACAATAATAAATTAAAAACAACCCAAAAGGTACATACAAAAAAAATGAAATGCATATGTTAAATTTGCCCTGATTAATATAGAACAACAATGCATATAGAACTCTATAAGCATGTACACAATAAAACACACATGACTAAAACTGGCAAAAGAGGTGGGACTTGATTTAAAAAACATGCCCATAATATTATTTTCTGTGCAGTTATGGAATAATATTATATTTTCTTTTATTATTTCTAATGATGTCTTACAAATTATACATTAAATAGGTTAATTTTGTATACTTTGAAATCTGAATTTAACGTTTAATCCTTTTTTTTACAGAATGGAATGAAAAAAACTAATTATTGATAAAACACTAATTATTGATAAGTTTCATTAAATAATAATATCAGATTTTGAAATACCAAGCGAATACCAATTCCTCTATTCAGATATTATGGGGCTTTTGCTCTTATTTATATATTTATTTAAAACTTTGCAAAATTTTAAATAACAATAATTATTCATTTTTTTTTAAATAAACTTCTTTGTCGTTTTTTTTTTTTTTTTTTTTTTTTTGATTTGACGAGGATGTTATTTTCTTAGCTGATGGGATACACAAAATCTTTTCTTGCAGGTACAATGACTCAAGCCGCTTATACTATATAGGAAAATTGAAGAAAAGAAGGCGGTAGATTATGAAACAACTGGGAAATACAAGTATGTCATTAAATGTCAGTTTCAAATATTAATCATACCTGTTTATAGCAGTTTAAAGTGCTTCTGAAAAGGGGTTTTTGAAAAGAAAAAATAAGAAACAGTATTGTTATAAATTCAATAAGAAATTTCAATGTAAATTTTCAAAACGATTAATTATGATTATTTAGGGAAAGAAATGATGCATAAATTGTAAATTTCTTTTTAAAAATATATAAAAGGACATATAAGAGAAATATATGTACATGTATGTTTTTGTAAACTACGTTCATACTTTGCATGAAATGAGAATGCGGAAACATAACTAGTATGACTTCTTTACAGATGCGAGTTTATACTTATTTAGTCTTTTCGAAATTTCATTTTATGAAATATGCAATTTGATTGTAATTTTTGCAAATTTTATTTGATAAAATACAATTTGTCAAAATAGGTAAGTTGAATTTTCCCAAATGTTACAATTTAAGTCGATTCTCGTGAAATCGTCGCAAAACGTTTTATTGATATTTGTTCATTCAAACCTCCTGAAAACAATAGTGGTAAAAGTGAAAATATGGCAAGGGTGTAAATACATCTAAATAACATAAATATTAATTTTATATGTACTTTGACCAAATATATAATCTTCTTTGCATATGAAGCATCTTAACCTAATTTCACAATGACACGTAATGTGTCCTCTTGAAAAAAATGCCGCATAAGTATTCAAAATTTTCATCAAAGGATAATATATCAAAAATACTTAGAACTAGCGTCACTAAGGAAGCACTTCTGTTTCTACTCTTATGTTTTATTCAGTTTATTTCATATATTTTTGTCGGAATGCACTCTGATTTATGCAAGAAAGAAGTCTTCCTTATTTAGTAATGTCGCCTTGGAGAGGACTTATATAGGCCATGCCTGATGTCCAATCCAATTATGTAATCTAACATAATAAAATATTGATTAAATTAATGTCGCCTTTTCGTATTATAATATGAAGATTAAATTTAATAATAATATACGTTCAAAAATTACAATTTTATTTGAATGATTGTGATTTAGTTTAGTTTTTGCTTCAGTTAAAATATTTTGTTTTGTTTGATAACCGTCGATTTAATTTTTTTTACGTTATTGTTTGCTTTTGTTTGTCAATCGCAATGCATGTTGATTAAAATATTTCTACGATTGAATTTATATCAAAGTTTAAGTAATTATCTTGGAAATCTTCACGTAAAAATATTGCAGTAGGTTTATAATGGATACGAGTCTGGACAACATATTTATTCCGGAAATAATCTAATTGATGTGGCGGCTGAGACGTACCAAAATTTCATCGTTCGCAATTATCTTCGAGATGTGGTTTAAAATTCTATCAAACTGAAGTAAATGTAATTTTGAAGGCTGTCAATTGTTATAAATCTCGACCAAATAAAACAAGACATTCATTAATGCCAAAAACTACTAAACAGTAGTATATAAAAATATTTCAGAAGACGCGTACTTATAAGTTAAAAAATGAATTAAAATTTACATTTGTTTGATCTTTTGCAGGTGTTAGGCATTTAATATGCTTATTATACATGATCGCTCTCTCTATTTTTCTCTCTCTACCTCTTTCTTTCTCTTTTGTCTTTCCTATCGTACACGAAGCTATGATAATAAGTGAGTAAAGATTTAGATTAAAAGAATAACTTTTTAAGAGATAACATTTCGAAACCTCCCCGTTGTCCTGTTATAGAAAGGGAAAATTTTACAAGTGCCGACGTCCGGCCCGATGTGAGTAAGATAGCAGTGACACATTTTCACGTGTTCTAATTTCATCTCCTCGGGCTGGTTGCAACATCATACTTCCTAACACTTTTTAGAAAATCACTGGAAATTGCTGTAAAATTTTGATGACCATCCCACTTCAATTTTTCTATGTTGTTGATCACAAGAGACAATTTCCTAATTTTGAGATCTCCAAATGCATTATTTCTAGTATCACCAATACTTATCCTTTTAAAGACACTGAGCTACTCATTACAAAATACAAATCCAAAAGTGTTTTTCAACGATGTCCAATTGAAAAGCTATTTTAAGTCATAATATTCATTGCAATTTATTTATGTTCCATTGAAAGTAAGCATGCACGTGATCCTATAATTTGAACTATCATTAAACTTTAAGAATTTGACTTAACACAAATATCAAGTGATTAATTTGATTTTTAATTTATCAACACATTCTTAAGTATATATCAAACGGTCATCTCAAAATTTTTTAATTGATTTAATTAGCAAAAAGTCTGGGTGGAGCATTTGCTTTTTAAGCTACGAGACTATTCACAATAGATATTGTACGTTGATACACGCACATATTTTATATACTATTGCAAAGAAAAAGATTATCAGAATGAATGGTCTGAAGGTTTTTATGCGATTGTTTGTAGCTGAAACCATGTTCTGATGTTCCATGTTGTTTATGAATCATTGCGTTTACTTTGGAGAGAGGAATTTAAAAAAGCTTCAGAAACATTAAAACAAAAGTCAAAGCCTACATATCCCAAGTAGATCAGAATAATACAATATGATCTGAAAGCCCGAGAAAACCCTTCATAAGAATCTCGAATTTCTAAATCAATAATAATAATTTAAGAGTAAATGAAAGAAAATATATTTTTGTATTGAAACAATTTTGATGCCATGTGCATACCTAGGTTTAACAATAAACAATAATATTTTTCTTAAATTCTTGATTAATTCACATTATTTTTGTCATCTAAAATACGTTTGCATAATATATCAAGACGTTCTGGAGTATGGTCCTCTATCATCCATATTTTTTTCTTATTATATGTGGTGTTCCACGTTTTTACTGAATTTTATGCTCTTTTGTAATAACCTTTTTACTATAATATTTTTTTAACAGTTGTGATTTGTAAGATTCATTTTAAGTTGACGTTGTTAGTTGTTTTAAAGTTGTATTGGCTGTGATGTCTAATAATATATGACCACTTAGTATTATTAAGTCTGTTTTCTTTGTTCCCTTTTCTTATGTATGTGAAACAGTAAAAACTGGTTGCGATTGTTAGTTTTGACATGCAAGGTAAAAATTTATGGAACATTTTTAAAGTTGCTATTGTTATTTTGAATGGTTTAGATATACACATTGCATGCCTAAATATTTCTTTAAAATCCAAGTCAAAGTGAATTTTTGTTATGATTGATTAAATCAAAAAGAAAACATTCAAGCATGTCGAAGAAACACACATGGCATGAGGCTAAATACAGTTTCAATTTTCAAATAAATTAAATTGTATTAGATTTTATTGAGACTTTAATAAATCACTATTCAATTTTATAAATAACAACAAAGACAAACAGCAGCGGGCCAATGACCTCTTTGGACAACCCTCGTATGTTTTGTATA